AAAAGTACATGTATTTATTTAGTACCTAAACAGATGTAAAGTTTGTCTATGGTATTAAAATTTTAGGGTTGGCCATAAGAAAAAAGTGTCTAAAAGGCTGGGAGTGGGTGGGGTGTGGGGTAGGGTACCCAATAATGAAAAAAAAAAAAAAATGGGGGAGAGGCACTAAGATGCTAAATGTATTCTCAAATGGAGGTCTATCATGGATGGTCGCCCTGGAGCTAAACTGCCCTGCACACATGGTTTCTAAGGAGACTACCTGTCGAGTTCCTAATCTCGGACACACATGTGGGTCTTTGAAATGAGCTCACTTTGTAAGACCACCACCCATAAAAAGGGCAGCTCTGTTCTTCACATGGAAGGCATTGAACACAAAATTCACAGAGCACCTTATTTATTTATTGCACTGGGGGCCGGTGAAGCAGCCACTGCAGGCCTTGGAGCAATATGGCTAGTGTGGTGATGGAAATGCATACTTGGAGAAGATGTTTACCTTCATCCTTTCCTGCTGGAAAGGTGGAGAGGGTGTCCTTGTAATGGAATCAAGCTTCAGTTTGTTTATTCAACATTGTTGAGCATCCACTAAACGTTGGACTCTAGGAAGGTTTGGAGATTATGCTGTCCAATATTGTAGCCATTACCCACATGTGGCTGTTTAAATTGAGGTTAATTAAAATAAAAATTCAGATCCTCACTCACGCTAGCCACATTTCAGGTGCTTACTAGCCACATGTGGCTTGTGACTGCTGCAGTAGACAGCACAAACAGAGAACATTTCCATAATCACAGGGAATTCTATTGAGCAGAAATTCTAGGTGTACCAGTTAATAATGCAGTTTTTTTCTTCAATAGATGGAGTTACACATATGTTGATATATATGTGATTTGATATGTATGCTATTTTGTTATGTTGACAACAAGCTTCAAAACTTCATATGTCAAATTTCATGCCAAAAAAAGAGCATTTGCAGGAAGTTTTAATTCATTTATTCTGAAGAAAAAAAAAGTGCTGCTGAATACTTTGGGAAGCCTATGGTGAACATGCTCCATCTCTAGATACTTGTGAATGCTGGTTTAAATGCTTTAAAAGTGATGAGTTCCATGAGAAAGACAGACGTCCAGATCAACCAAAAGTTTGAAGACTAACAATTACAAGTTTTATTGGATGAAGATGCATGTCACACTCAAGAACAACTTGCAGAAAGATTAAACATTGCTCAGTAAATCATTTCTGATCGTTCACTAGCAATGGGGAAGGTTTTAAAGGAAGGAAAATGGGTGCCACATCAACTGAAGGAAAGACAGATGGAAAACTGAAAAATCATCAGTAAAATGTTGCTTCAACGGCACGAAAGAATTTTTTGCATTGAATTGTGACTGGCAATGAAAAGTGGATTTATTTTTAGAATCCCAAATGCACAAAAATCATGGGTTGATCCAAGTCAACCATCAACATCGACTGTGAGGCCAAATCACTTCGGAAAGAAGACAATGCCCTCCATTTGGTGGGATCAGGAAGGTATGGTATATTATGAGCTTCTAAAATCAGGTGAAACCGTTAATACTGATCGCTACCAACAACAATCAATTTAAACAATGCTCGCTACCAACAACAAATAATCAATTTAAACAATGCTTTGATCATGAAATGACCAGAATGTTCCAGAAGACATGGCAAAGTAATTTTGCTCCATGATGACACACCATCACACACTTCAAAACCAGTTCAAGACATATTAAAAGATCTTGCCTGGGAAGTATTAACCCACCCACTGTATTCACCAGACCATGCTTCTTCAGATTACCACTTGTTCCGATCGATGACACGCACTTTCTGAGCAGCACTTCAAAACATATGAAGAAGTGGAAAATTGGGTCTCTGAATGGTTTGCCTCAAAACAAGAGAAGTTCTATTGGGATGGCCTCCACAAATTACCCGAAAGATGGGGGAATGTGTAGCTAGCGACGGACATTACTTTGAATAAAGCACTTTTGATGTTTCTCTTAAAATTACCGTGCTTTTTTTTTTTATTACAAAACCTGCTATTATTAACTGGTACCCCTAGTAGAACTCTGTAGCATGTTGGTAGAGCCAGAATGACATAGTGGTTAAGAATATGGCCTTTGGCCCAAACCGGTTTGGCTCAGCGGTAGAGCGTTGGTCTGCGGACTGAGGGGTCCCAGGTTCGATTCCGGTCAAGGGCATGTACACTGGTTGCGGGCACATTCCCGGTGGGGGGTGTGCAGGAGGCAGCTGGTTGATGTTTCTCTCTCATCAACGTTTCTAGCTCTCCATCTCTTCTCCCTTCCTCTCTGTAAAAAATCAATAGAATATATTTAAAAAAAAAAAGAATATGGCCTTTGGATCAAACTTGGGTTTAAGCTCCTGGCTTCATTCACCAGCTATAGGACCCTGGCATGATACTTAGCCTTTCTGAGCCACAGCTTTCTCCTCTATAAAATGGGGGGAATAATGCCTGATCTCATAGAGTTATAGTGAGAATTACAGATGATGCACTCAACATTAAGTCACTGCTCAGTACACATTGTCTGTTGTTATCCTTATCATCACCATTGTGTATAATTATCATCATCATCATTGTTGTCTTTGGCAGGTGGGGTGTTTATGTTTGGACCATGCAGACAGGCATTTTATATTTACGTTAACTTCAATAATGTACCTATTATAGAGGTTTACAAAGATTAGGCTGTTTCCTTGACTATGTTCCTTCCCTCTCTAGTGGTCACTGCCCCTATTCTCAACATTACATTACAAACTGTTCAAAAGTCTGGATTTGGGGGCAGCTCTGCTCTCAGTCAGTGATGGTTGGGAGGTAGAGGGTAACTCCAGAGAGAGGAAGAGAAGTACATTTGTTGATTTGAATGCTTTTCTGATATGTCAAGGAGAATTGTAGGACTAAGGTGAATTGAGGAATGGAAAACAAAGCTCTTCCTGCAAAGAACTACAAGATAGTTGCTGTTCTCCAGAAGGAAGAAGCTTGCTGCCTGCGTTGGGGATGTATTTGTTTAAGATATTTCCACTGAGAAGCTCATTAGTACAAAGCCTTTTATTGGCAGCTGGGTCCTGGAATAGAAGCAGAGGCACGAGCCCTCGCCCACATCATTAAGACAGATGAAGACATGTGCTGGAAACAGTTATCCACACAGATTTAATTTGTTTCACTGCTGGAAGAAAATCCTGAGGAGACAGGAAACACATACTACCCAAGAACAGTTCTGCAACCTCCCTGTGAGCCTGTCACTTATCAGCACCATGGGGGCTGTGAGCTGCTTAACTTGGACATCTACCAAGGGCCAATATACCTGAAAATACGTCTTCACTTAGGTCAGGGATATAGGTGCTTATATAGGTGACTCAGTTCTGTTAATTTGATGATTTTCTCGTTTGTCTTTTTAACCTAGCTTATTATACATAATTGCTTATCAGAATAATATGCAGAGTTCTAAAATGAAATAGGCACATTTTATAGCTACATAATATGCTTAACAAAATTATATGTTTGCATTATTGTTTGCTCTCTTTTTAAGAATTGTAGCCTTGAATCTCTTGATTTTGTTGTTGGTGTTTCTTGCAGAATTGTTATTTTTCATTATCTTGCCTTTAGGAAAAGAAAGTCTTCTGAGTACACAAAACTGCATTTTTCCCAAAGAAAGAGAAAAAGATGATCACGGTTGTTCTAGGATGTGACTGTTACAGGGTTCCCACCATATGTATATACACTGAGTGGCCAGATTATTATGATCTCTGAACGCATAATAATCTGACCACTCATTGTATATCCTATATAATAACAGGCTAATATGCAAATTGTCCCTCTACCAGGAGTTCGACTAGCAGGCAGGACAGCCAACCGCTCATGTCCCCTTCCCCTGGCCAGGCTGGCTAGACCCCACCCATGCACGAATTCATGCACCAGGCCTCATACATACGTGTGTGTGTGTGTGTGTGTGTGTGTGTATGCAACACTGAGTGGCCAGATTATTATGCGATCAGAGATCATATAATCTGGCCACTCAATGTATAAAGTAATTGCACAAGCTTGTCCCAGATGTTGAAGAATAGGCCTTTAACAACATTCTGGGCGGCTGTTAAAGAAGCCAAAGCCCTTCGCTCAAAATGTTAACTTCCAAAGAAGCAATCAACAGTCAGAAGAATGATGTGGTTAGAGTGAGAGGTGATAGCTTCCTTATAGATTTTTCCTGTATCAAATATCTTCAATTGTATGTGATGAGCATAATCCTTCAGTCACTTAAAAAAAAAATAGACAGCCTTTTATAGTGTGAGGAGTGAATATAAAAGCTACTTGTGTGTACTAATAGCCTACAGATTTACTACCTTTTCTCTGGGGTTGCTTCATGACAACCTCTTCATTTTCCCGCTGCCCTGTACTTCAGGTTTTACAAACAGTATGACACAACTCACGCATGTGGCAAGCTCAAGAAATCATTTTCTTTGGTGATCAAAATGTGATTCTCTTTTTGGAAATCAGGCGGGGTAGTCTGAAACCTCTAAGTGACAGCTTGCTGAAAGGTGGTTTGGTTCTTACTCATGTGTCCCACATAGGAGAGATCTAGTTAGGGAGCTGCGTCATTGACTCCATTTATATGAGTATCCTTGATGGACGGCAACTCCTTCTAGCGAGGAGAGGTGTATGCCTTCCATCTCTGCAGCCATTCTTGGCATTTTAGACAACCCTTGCAAGTCCAGGCAACATTCAATATTTTTATTGGCAGTCAAAGTTCATTTGAAACTGCATCTAACAACATGGCCATATATCTCTTAAAACTCCTATGCTTTCAGAAATTTTTATTTTTATCCTGCCTCTATAAAATGGAATCTTTGTTAGTCCTGGCAGGTGTGGCTCAGTTGGTTGAACATTGTCCCCTGCAGAGAGAGGTCACCAATTTGATTCCTGGTCATGGCACATGCCCAGGTTGTGGGCTCGATCCCCAATGGGGGTATGCGAAAGGCAGCCCATCCATGTTTCTTTCTCTCATCGATGTTTCTCTCCCTTCCTCTCCCTTCATCTCTCTCTGAAAATCAATGAAAACATTTTAACAATAAAAAAAGGGGGAATTTTTAGGTGTGTCACAATTGAAACCACACACAATAAAATTAACATAGAAGCAATTAGAAAATCAATAAAAGAAGAAGAAAATATGCTAGCCAGGATGGTTAGTGAAATTACTGTGATTTATTACTGACTTTGGCCCTGAGACTACCTAAAGATCTAGCAATGAGTAGATGATTAAATGCATTATGACACAGCACCATGACAAATTATGTAGTCTTCCTCAGGGTGAATTTATAACAATAAGGAAAAATGTTTATAATACAGTATTAAGAAGAGAGAGGATTAAAAACTATAAAATTATCTCAGCTATGCTTACAAAGAATTGAAGAAAACATATTAGTAGATAATTCACCAGAATATTGACTATGGCTAATGACCTGAAGTAATTTTTTTTATATATATTTCTCTCTTTTTAATCAGATAATTATCATGAACACATATGTAAAAGTCATCTTTTTAGTTGACCCTGAGCTTCCTAACAAAAGGCAGAAGGGGTTATTTGAGGAAAGAATTATCTCAGTTCTTTAAAATAAACTTTCTTGATCCAAAAGGATATTGAGTGACATAGTATACAAACTTGATAACGTTCTTCTTTTTCATTTATTTAAATTTTTTTTCCATCATCATGTATCCCCTTTATGCCCTCTCCCACCTTTCCCCCACCCCACATGGCAAGCAAATGTAGAAGGAGGACTCCTTCTGACTGTGTCTCATGACCATCCCTCAAGAGGAACCCCAAACAGGACACTCACTAAGGGCAGCGGCAGTGAGGGCTTGCCGGGAAGGGGAACTTAGCTCTCACGAGCCTCCCATCCCTTAATTCTATGTTTGGAATTTCTCTTAATTCTGTGTTTGGAATTTTGCTTACTCGTCCAAATGTGTGCAATATGCTCAAGAGCTCTTTTTTTTATTGATTTTTTTTTTAACAGAGAGGAAGAGAGAGGGATAGAGAGTTAGAAACATCGATGAGAGAGAATCATCGATCAGCTGCCTCCTGTACACCCCCTACCGGGGATTTTCCCGCAACCAATGTACCTGTCCTTGACCGGAATCGAACCCGGGATCTTTCAGTCTCCAAGCCAACGCTCTATCCATTGAGCCAAACCGGTCTCGGCAGCTCTCAGTTCTTTATTTCATACCTTAAGGATTGAATCACCACTAGTCCTGTAAATTAGTCTTTCTAAAAGAATTGTGACTTCTCCCCCCTTTCAGGTGTCGCTGCATTGGATTCCAACGTATCTGGGAAAATCGGGCTGCGTGCGGTTGCATATTATTTCTGCACCACTCTCATTGCTGTCATTCTAGGTAAAATTTATCGCTGAATTCTTATTCCTCTATATAATTGTGACTTTTCACTTAAACGTGATTGGGCTTTTTATAATGTGCATTTTTTATAAAATTAGGAAGCATTATTGTTGCACTACCATGCAGCTTTTTGGCTTAAAGTCTACATGTACCTTTTATACGAAGAAAATGTAATACTGACTGAATTCCAGCTGTAGTATTCTTTATTAAAGTCTCTAGTAAGAACAGAAAGAGGGTGACAGCTCTATACGTCTCCATGATCATTGGGTAGAAGGAAGTGGATCCAAGAGCTCATATAATCTTTAAAGCAGTGAGTCTATAGAAGTGGAGTTGAGTATAATTATAAAAGATTTCTGGAAAGATAGCATTTGAGTGCATTTCAGACTTCACATAGTACTGAGAGCTAATGGCTGAGTCTTGCTAAGTATAAACTCTACTTGAAAGAAGGAGAAAGATCTAAGGGAACAGAGCTACTCTTATACTTTTGGCATTCTTTTGTGAAGAAAATATGGTCCATCCATTGTGACCTAGCTTGATATTTTAAGGATGCCATGCCAAGGTTGACCTTATAAGCTAAAATAAAGAAAATAAAGAAAAAAGAACATCTTGTCAGCAGGAGTTTTCAGAAACAATTCTGGAATACAGCCCCTATTTTTTCTATTGATTTTTTTTTTTTTTTGAGAGAGAGAGAGAGAGAGAGAGGGAGAATGAGAATGGACAGAGAGGAGTAGCCCCTTCACTTAAAAAAAAAAAAAAGATATGGGAGAAGAGTTCCTTCTGCTTCATGTAATAATTAAGGCTGCCGCACCTGTGAGTCAGCCTTTTGGCTGGACCTCGGGGTCCCACCACGTCCAGCAGGTCAAAGAAGGATGCACTGGGGGTGCTGGGTGCCCTGGAAGGGTCTCATTGCTCTGTGGGTACTCTCCTTGGCCACAGGTATCGTGCTGGTGGTGACCATCAAGCCCGGTGTCAGCCAGAAAGTGGGTGAAATTGACAGGCAAGGCAGCAGCCCTGAAGTCAGTACTGTGGACGCCATGTTAGACTTGATCAGGTGAGTGTCTTGCCATCAGGGTGGCTTCATTGGCATTCAGCCTGTGTGGTCACTCAGGGCCCATGCTTACTCTAACAATCTGCTGTTGCCATCTTGAGATTTTTAATAATTTTTAAATGATTGTGCGTTTTCATTTCGCCCTGGACCCTGCAAATTACATAGCCAGGGCTGCCTGCTGAGCCATGGCTCCACAAGGGCATGGAGGGAATGAGCTCCTCCATCAGGACTTAGCGTGGATAGAGATGCAGAAACTGTGCTTGTTGGATAAAGATGCTGGGTAGTCAGTTCTGAAGCACATTTGAAGAAACACATTTTTTTTTAATTGTACAGGGGGAAAAACTTCTTAATTTTAAGCAGTCAGGGCTGGAAATTGGTTAATTCATGAATAGCAATTAAGGAAGAGAATCATAAAAAAAATGATAGATACGCATGACGTATTTTGTTTATAGTTACAACTTAAATGAATTTATTTGCTAATTTTTTAATGTAGGGTCAAGGTCTTTTCTTCGAGTGTGTCAGTTGATTGTAATTTCCTACCACTTCTGCTGCATATGCTGCAGGATGTAACAGAAATGTGTCGTCTAGAATTTCAGGCCTCAGATTCTGTGAAGCGGAGCAACAGAAACCCTTAGACTTGCAAAGAAAGCGGAGTGCCGAATCCTTCCAGTTTTCCTTTTTATTCTAGTTGCCTTCCCACACCTAACTTAACCGCAGAAGTTTTAGTCACTTGGCTTGACTGAGTTTCCAGGCACTCGGCTTATAGAAAATTTTTATTGAAATCATACCTTCCTTCTCACACCCATATCTCCTTGATTTACATAATTTTAAGTTCAGTAAGAGCAATGATATTTGCAGTTGGCATCAAGAATTTGGGAAGAAATGCAGTAGACTCTTCGTAAGCATATACTCTCATGGATGAAAACAGAAATGTGCAGAATATTAAAGTTTTCTCTTCACTTCGGGTGTCCACCTGCCAGTGTGGTGTTTCCCCAGGACAGGATGTGTACCAGCTCCTCTTAAGGAACAGTTAAGGAACGGTTGGTTAGGAGAGCTTTCTATTTTTGGTTGGAGCTTAGCAGAGAAGAATAAATCTTACAACAAGAAAAGCCAGAAGAGAAACCAGAGGACTGATTCTATGTTACACTCATTTTCGCCCCTGTACTGGATATGACAAACAAAAAAAAACAGAACACTTTTGCCTTAACATAATACTGCTTTTTATGTCTCCAACAGGAATATGTTCCCTGAGAACCTTGTCCAAGCCTGTTTTCAGCAGGTAATACTGACTTTTGCCCACATTGCTCCCCTCTTCCCACTATCAGTTACATTTTTTTTTTTCCTGCCATAACCCAGCAAATGGAATTAGCCCATCAAAATGGCAGGAGATGTTCCTGGGAATGGAGCAATTTCAGGTGCCTCCTCTGGACTGTATCCTGGTCTTTCAGTCACAGTGAACTAAGTGCCTGTTGTAGCTTATTCTGCTCCCTTTTCCTTTATGTCCCCCTCCACACCCCAAAAAAGGGGTGTGGAGGGGGACATAAAGGAAAAGGGAGCAGAATAAGCTCCTGACTTGCTCCATTTTGGGGGGCTCAAATGGAGCAAGTCAGAAAAAAATGTCAAGCAATGAATATTTTCTTTTTTAATTTCTCTTTATCATTCAAAGTATTACAGATAGCCCCTTTTTCCACCATTGACTCCTCTGCCCTGCCAATGAATGTTTTAGAACATGGCTTCTCATACCTATTTTTGTAGAGCCACATTATACTGTATTTGTGAATAGATGTAGACTGTCAGGAGATGCCACGCAGAGGGAAAAGTAGCCCCCATCTCCTCTTTCACTCTGCAGGCAGATCAGTATCGGACCCACAAGGTGGCTGGTGTTCCTGGTATTTGGTCTTTTCCTTAATCATTCTGTCCCCATTGCTGACACTCTAAGGAACACTATAATTATTTGATTATTTTATTCTCTAGGAAAGTTTAGGAAAGTTTAAAAATCTCTCTACTCCATTCTCCTCACATCTTGTTCTCCTGTTTGTCTATGCACTTAGACAGCTGAGTCTATCACAAACTGCTGAATTGATTTACATAAATTACACGAACAGAGACCCCTGTGTGTACCAGCAGGCACCTCAATTAAGCTGCCTGCTGCCGATCTCCAGGCAGCACAGAACCACCTCTATCTCAGGGCTGCCTCTGTGCCTCAGCCACAGTGGTCATTTGTGAGGTCCTCGGTGCTGGCAGAGCTGGTAGGCATGACTTTTCTGCCTGGTGTGAGGGTATATTAGCTCTTTCTTCAGCCTGTCTGCTGAAGCTCCACAGAACCTGATGGGGCTGAAAGAGGGAGAGTCCACAGAAATCTCATGGAGTAGCCCTAAAAGACTGTTGATTTTGGAACAACCATATAGTTGTTGATGTTTATTAAAGTCATAGTGACTACATTTACCAAAATGGTGAGTTTTCTCCCAGGTTAAAAATAATAAATAGAATAAAAAATGATGCACAGGATTCTTGTAGAGTCTGTCTATGAAAGCACCTACAAATAACACCAATACTTCCATTAACTTGTCCTTTCTTATGAAAGTGAGAGAGCATTTTGACATCATTGAATGGTGGCTGGGGGCATCAGGGGTTTGGATTTCTCAATCCCACTTTTGGTTCCAAAGCCTCATAGGAGGTTCTGTCAACACCTGGAGCCAACAGAAGAATCAGAGGTAGAATCTTTCAGTGGTGCTGGTTTGCCCAAAGTAACAATATTTCCTGTGATTTAGCCTCAGGTGCTTAAAAACTTTCTTCATTTGTTTCCTGTGTTTTCTTTCTCCTAACCTGCAGTATAAGACCACACGGAAAGAAGTGAGTCCTCCCAGTGAGCCAGGGATGAATATGACGGGAGCATCTGTCACGGCCGTCATGACAACTGCTGTGACTGTTGCCAAGGTACTGACTGCTTCCTTCCTTGTCACCCACACTCCCTCCCCAGGAGTCAGGGCCTGAGCTGTGAGGGAGCAGGAGATGGGAGTATATAGTCCATCCTCATTACTTGAGCATTCCACACTTTGTGAATTCACCTACTTGCTAAACGGGATTGGCGACCTCAAAAACCAACACTCAGGCGCTTTAATGTCATTTGCAGATGTGCACGGAGCGGTGAAAAATTTAAGTCACCCAATGCACATGTGTTTCCAGCTGAGGCTGAACACAGCTGTGCTCTGCCTTCTTGTTTCAGCTCTCATACATATTAACACCTGTCTTTCCGTGGTGCGCGTATGCCACATTTTCACAGTTTTGTACTTTTCATGGTAATCTCACTGTTTAAAATATCCCCCAACCACAGTGCTGAAGTGCTGTCTGTGGTTCCTAAATGCAAGAGGGCTGCAACGTGCCTTCCAGAGAATACAGTAGGTTAGCTACACTTCATTTAGGCAGGTGCTCTAATGTGTGGGTTGTGAATTCAATGTTAGTGAAGCAACAGTATATGTGAAATAAGGTCGTCTCTGAACAGAAATTTGCATAAAGTAGGTCAGGTGTGGATTACGTGATGGAAATGTTGCGAACATTGATTCCCAAGAACTTACTCAGACATGTTCCCTAGAAACAATGAGTTAGTATTCGATAATTCAATAGCGGTGACCACTTCATAGAACCCAACTACCAAGAATAATGAGCAGTGGGCGAACCACGCGGAGGAAAGAAAGGGCCCAGTTGCCTCTGTGTCTCTGCCACTCCGTAGAGTTGAGGTGCGCAACCTCTGGGAACTGCGTTAGGTTTGCACGACTACGTAGACGCAGATCACAGGCCCACAGTTTCTTTTCTGAAACCCTCTGCCCACATGCGATACAGATCCATGGTTTTCCGCGTTAGATGGGCCAGGCGGTGAGTGCACACGTTGAACATTTCCCTGAAGTGGGATTGGCAACAACACTCTAGAGTCAAGCACATCAATATTCTTGCACCAAATTTGTGACTGTTCTGCCACGTTAAAAGAAACAGGTCATACGTGGCCCCGTTTCAGTTTAGGTTAGGTTTTGCCACCTAGAGTTTGCCATAAACTCATGGATAAAATGGATGGGCTTTGACAGCTTTGGGGGTTTCTTCCCCTATTGGAGGCTTAGAATGTATGGGCCTGAAGTAGTACATTTTTACTACTCTAGCAGATTTTTTCCTGAATGCTCTCTGCCTGTACACAGGAAGGAAAAATTTAAGGAAAAGATAAATGTTCAATAGGCTTAAGATTTCAGATTATCTAGGCCACCGTTGGCTCCCTGCTTCCACCTACAGAAAGCCTTCACTCTCCAGTTTACCCCTCTGGCAGGTCCAGTGCCCCTGGCTCCTCCCTTGTTTCCAGGCTCACTTCCCAGTGGGCCCCCTCTGTTCTATCTCCATCAGCCTCCTTCATTCCTCGTTATTCCTGCCTTTGATGTGGTTCCACAAGGATTTTCTGATCACCCTACCTGAGCCAGGCCCTGCTGAACATTGGATTACAATGGTGAAAAGATAGACGTGACATCTGCCCTCATATGAAGAGTGATGAATATTACAATAGGGAAGAACAGAGTACTCTGGGGCATCCAATAGGGTGGTTTAAATTCGTAGCAGGATACAGAAGTCTGGTGCAGGATGACTTTTGCCTTTTCTTACCAAATCATTTCTTTTTTTTTCTTTTTTTTTAATATATTTTATTGATTTTTTACAGAGAGGAAGGGAGAGAGATAGAGAGCTAGAAACATCGATGAGAGAGAAACATCGACCAGCTGCCTCTTGCACACCCCCCACGGGGATGTGCCCGCAACCAACGTACATGCCCTTGACCGGAATCGAACCCTGGACCCTTCAGTCCGCAGACCAACGCTCTACCACTGAGCCAAACCGGTTTTGGCACCAAATCATTTCTTTCTTTTTCTTTTTCTTTTTTTTTAATTTATTGATTTTTACAGAGAGGAAGGGAGAGAGAGAGCTAGAAACGTCGATGAGAGAGAAACATCGACCAGCTGCCTCCTGCAAACCCCCCACCAGGGATATGCCCGCAACCAATGTACATGCCCTTGACCGGAATCGAACCCTGGACCCTTCAGTCCGCAGACCGACGCTCTACCACTGAGCCAAACCGGTTTCGGCCCAAATCATTTCTTAATGTTAACCTCTCAGCCCTCATCCATGTCCCAAGGTTCCATAGGATGTCCATAACTCACAGCGTGGCCGTGCAGTTAATTACACACCATCTCACTGTCATTGGCTTGTGTCTCTCATGGTTAGTTTTGTCTTTCCAGCTGCATTTTAAGACCTTATGCTCTAGTGTTTCTCTTCAAAACGAATAAATCTTTCCCCTTTTACTGATGACCTTATGCTGTAGCCACTGCAGTTGGCACACTCCAGCTGCTTGGTAAATATTTGATTAAATCACATCATAATGAAGAAATGACTGGTGCCCCAGGGGCTTGTCCATTTATGTTATGTCCTTATAAAATCTCGCAGTAAATCTCATGCTGTTTTTTTACACAGGATAAAGCAAACAAATGGCTCCTAATAGTAGGAACTTGGTTAACTCTTTTAAATATTTTTTTTATTGGTTTAAGAGAAGGAGAGAGAGAGAAACATCAATGAGAATCATTGATCAACTCTCTCCTATATACCCCCCACTTGAGATAGAGCCCACAACCCAGGTGTGTGCCCTGACTGGGAATTGAACCATGACCATCTGGTTCATAGGTCAATATTTAACCACTGAGCCACGCTGTCGGGCTGGTAAACTTTTATGTTTCCAAAATCCTGTTTGCCATTCAAAACTAGAGGCGGTAAAGAATGTTCTTTTTTAAAATATGTTTTTATTTATGTTAGAGAGGAAGGGAGAGGGAGAGAAAAACCCGTATGTGCAAGAAATATCTATTGGCTGCCTCCTGCCTGCCCCTACTGGGGATTGAGCTCATAACCTGGGCACGTGCCCTGACCAGTGACTTTTTGGTGCGTGGGACAATGCTTAATGAACTGAACCACACCAGCCAGGGCAAGAATGTTCTCATGGCTCATTATCAGAATAAACCAGTAAATGTCCTAAAAATGTCCACACTGGTCAATATTTTCTGTTTCCTGCATTACTAATTTATATTATTTTTATATAGCCTCAAAATATAGTGAGTAGTTAAAATAACCCTGAAAAGTGCCTTGATTCTGAAGTTTTTACTAAAAATGTAAAACACAATAGGGGTGGGGAGGAGACATATGTAATACTTTAAACAATAAAAAATTAAAATAAAAAAATGTAAAACATTCCATAATAAGAAATCTTCAAAAGAAATACTCAAATATGGATTTGTTGAGAGAAAGAGGAGGAAAAAAACACTTTAAACTTCAATGTCTAAAGGTAGGGGCAATAAAAATTGCATAGGTGGGTTTTGTTTTTTGTATTTTTAGTTATATTTCCAAAGTATTGTTGACTCTCACAGGTAGATCACTAGTTTATTATGTTTGGCTATTGTTTCTTCTTATTTCAATACCTATGCAGTCTAACAAGATTATAATCACGTATCAATATATTTTCTTGGTTTCGATTCACAGAATGAAACAAAGGAATACAAAGTCGTAGGCATGTACTCAGATGGCATCAATGTCCTCGGCTTGATTGTCTTTTGCCTTGTCTTTGGACTTGTCATTGGAAAAATGGGAGAAAAGGGACAGATTCTGGTGGATTTCTTCAATGCTCTGACCGATGCAACCATGAAAATCATTCAGATCATTATGTGGTGAGCAAATGCTTGTTAATGCCATCTTGTTCCCCTGAATTAGAACCAAGTTTCTCAACTGACTCACCTTAGAAAAGGGGAACCCTGAATATCAGACACTTACAAGGGTATTAAATCATGACACGTGTTATATTTTGTTCACTAATGAGAGTCTAGATATCAGCCATTGTGTTTACTGCCAAAGCTCTTGCTCATCTTGTACCCAGCTAGCATTCATGTAAGAGGTAGCTTTTAAAGGCATGATTTGAAGGGGTTGCCTGCACATCAAAACACGAAGTGCTTTCCTTAGTAGGCCCCATGCAGAAGAGATATTCCAGATACTTACAACAGGTACAGCGCGAGCACTAACCCATCCAAACGAAAGCTGCCGGAGTGCCTGCCCTGTCTCGGAGATGCCTAAAAGCCCACCTTTCTTCGGGGACCTCTGTCCCACTTATCTCATATTGAAGTGGGTTAACGTTATTTACTCCAGATTATAGGCATTGACAGTGATGTAAAGGGTTCAGCTATTTCAGTCACTTAATCCCACTGCACCTCAGCTTCATGATGAATAAAAAAAGGGTAATCAAATCTCCCACTAGGATTGGGAGAAGCACACTAATTGAATTGATGCATGTAAAATACTTAAGCCAACACAAGACCTGTAATGAAAGCTCCACAAACAGCTTTTATGACCATTTTCACTACGAACCCTATGGCTCTTAGCTGATATTGCAATCTGGGAGACAAGGTGACCATGGCTAGAAAGAGCCTAGTGACCATATTTGGAGGATCAAGCTAAAATGGTAACAAGAAATGGGATATGCAGTAGTTTAGTTACACCTTTTATGTATTTATTTTACTGAATGTATTGGATAGCATTGGTTAATAAAATTACATAGGTTTCAGGTATGCAATAACCATGCCTCCTTGCCACGTGTGTCCCATCACGGTAGCTTAGGTGGGTAGAATTTAAGGCACACACAGGTGTTGAAAGCTGGAGCCAGTGTGGTCCCCCAGAGCCTGGAACTGAGATGAAACTGAGACCTTCGCTTCATTGTGCACCCAGCGCACCTCCCAGCGGAGGGTGGGCACAAAGCCAAGGTGCAGGCAGGGGCTTGTTTCTTCCCCAACAATCCCACCCTGAGAACACACCTGCTGACTCCGTTGTGCTTACTTCCTAGCTACATGCCCATCGGCATTTTATTCCTGATTGCCGGAAAGATCATAGAAGTTGAAGACTGGGACATATTCCGCAAGCTGGGCCTTTACATGGTCACCGTCCTAACTGGGTACGTCAGACCCAAGAGAAGAAACCTCACTTGAGCTCATGAGAGTCTGGGCTTCGGAGGGTTAACATTGGCTTCTCTCCCACATGCAGGGGGAAATGGGGTTCAGCAGCGATAAGAGAGACAGCTGGGTCGGGGGGAGGGGGACTGCCCTTTAACAGCTGTCCTGGGGGTGGTTCGCACTGTGCTCAGTGCCATATCTTGGCAGAACAGCCTGGACCTGGCTTTGTCACTGCCTCTATTAGTTGTATTCAAATAATTTTTTTTAAACCCACTGGTAGCCTATCTTGGCTGTCTCCTGGCCTTCACTTCCTCAAGGATATAAACTAACCAAGCAAGTAAGAATAAACCCATGTACCCTGGGCCTGAAAGAAATTAGGCAGGCCTCAACAAAATCAGACTCGAGCAAGTAGGAGCAGGATGGCTGGTCAGTTCCAGGACCCTGTTGGTGGGGTCACCCCCTGCATCCTCACAGGGCCAGACAGGGTTCGGGGGAAATCTTCATGCTAGAATAGGGGTGTCGAACTCAATCAGAGAAGGGGCCAAAATCTAAAATCCAGCCTAAATCGCGGGCTGAATGGTTTACTGAACAGTCATAAACTGTCATTGTGATGGAAACGCAGCGGAGTGCAGTGATGACAGCGCGGTGCGGGCCACATTGCAAGGCCTGGCGGGACGGATTTGTGTTTGACACATGTGTGCTAGAAGGAATTGGGTAAAGCAGGAGGGCAGCAGTAGCAGGTCATTTGCATACTTATTACAGTCCAGTTATTGGTTCCTTGAGGGGAATCGATGATAAATGGTGCTCCCAGATATCTAGCCAAGGGTGGGATACATCACATGGGCCTTGAAATATGGACCATGGGAATGAGTAAACATCGTCCATTTGACTCCCACTGGTCAATGCCTCCAAACACCCGCTTGAACAATCAGCTTGCCTATTGGGACTCGATTGTATTGAGGGGTTTCCACTGCACAGCATTTGGTACTTAATCTGTGTTTACCAAGAGCACAACCCTGACGCAGCCTGGATTCCTACAGTGTGAGGGTCAGTCAAATCCCAGGGCCTGGTGCAAAGGGAGGCAGGATCATCCACCTTACTAGAGGCCAGAGGCTGTGTCCAGGCAGTGATGGGGCTGCGGCTTATGAAACTGAACCACTTCATAACGGGGTTCTGCTGGTTTCTGTTCTCTTATCCTAGCTAGGTTCCTAAGAGTAAACGAAGTCATTTCCTCAGATTCCGTAGCCACAAGCTCTCTATCCAGGAGGCCCTCTCTCTACTACCCCCTCTCCGGGAAGCTGCATTTCAATGACTACTTCTTACTACTTGAGCTTCACATATCTTTAAACTCTAAGCTGCCACATAGATGGCATCTGCTGAATCAGTCTCCTTTCTGAAGCCCCCTGTTGTGTGTAACCCATGTATTCCCATGTGGGACAAGGAACAGTTTTGGAAGACAGGAATAACAAAGAGAGTCGGTCCAAAGTATGAAAATGGAAGAGCCAGGGCTTCCTCCTCCTCATCGCAATCCTCACTTCCCTCTTAGACAGTGGGCACCATCTCACAAACAGTGGTGAGGGCCCGGGAGCAGAGCGGCTGAGCCTGTGAAGGGCTATGATAGAGGTTTGTGAGGGGGCCACAGAGTCACCAAGAAGGGAGGGGTCAGCAGGAGCTGGGAGGTTGAGGGAAGGTTTTCTGAAGGAGAGGGCTCTTAGAGGAGAATTCGGCAGCAGAAGGAAGTGAAAGCATTTTATCACATTTAGCCGGAACAGCACGATCGGGGCTTGGAAGCACGATGTGATTGTTCTGTGAGCCCCGGAATGTGCATTCGGCTACTGGCTTTGCCATAACTCTGATAAGATACTTCATTTGCTGAATGAATCTCCTCGTCCTCATATGTGGACTGGAGACATATTCCTGCCCTGCTTCTCATTTTCTCATTAGGTCCATATGCAAGTTGAATGACACTATGAATGAAAAAGCTGTTTGAAAGAAAGGATTAATATGAAGAGGTGGTATCATCCATGAACCTGTTCCTTTCTCATTTTCAGGCTTGCAATCCACTCCATTGTAATTCTCCCTCTGATATATTTCATCGTGGTAAGAAAGAACCCCTTCCGGTTTGCCATGGGGATGGCCCAGGCTCTCCTGACAGCTCTCATGATCTCTTCCAGGTAAACAGAAGAGGGGTGTCTAGAGGAAGAGTCTGAACCAAGCTTTTATCAACCCTCACCTCACTTGATAAAGCGGTATCTGCAGCTTACAGTTTTTGTAGCTACTTTAATCCAAGGAATGATTTGCCCCAGCCAGTGTGGCTCAGTTGGTTGGAGTACCAGTCCATTCATCCAATGGTGGCGGTTCGATTCCCAGTCAGGGCACATAACTAGGTGGTGGGTTCAATCACCAGTTGGAACACATGCAGGAAGCAACCAATCGGTTTCTCTCCCTCTCTCTTTGAGATCAATTAAAAACATAAAGAAATGATCTCCATAGTCTCTGCCCACGTCCTTGAATGTAGTTCTTCACCATGTGGGATATTCCTGGCCCTCTTGGCACAGCCTGCAGTCCAGGGAGGGATTATATTGTATCTTGGAGCAGTGGCAACCATAGCACCTTCGGATTCCTGAGCCTGTCAAAGGTGCCAGCATGCTTTGTGCTCCTGGTTAGTTTTTGGGATGGAGGTGTCCCTTCTTCAGGCAGGGACTGAGGACCAGCATTTCTAAACTATAAGTCCTTTGTCTTTTTATCACACAGTTCAGCAACCCTGCCTGTCACTTTCCGCTGTGCTGAAGAAAACAACCAGGTGGACAAAAGGATCACTAGATTTGTGTTACCCGTTGGTGCTACAATCAACATGGACGGGACTGCCCTCTACGAAGCAGTAGCAGCTGTGTTCATTGCACAGTTGAATGACATGGACTTGAGCATTGGGCAGATAGTCACTATCAGGTAGGGGCATGATGTCACATTCATTCTCATCTTCGTTACTGGAATTGCCTCTAGTAAAAGCTGTCTGTGAAAGATCGAGAGTGGTCCAGCAGTGGGTTGATTTTCTTGGTCTACAAAGTCTGTTCTCAAAACTAAGCACAACTCTGTTACACGCAGTGGGATTGTACTGCACAAGATTTCTGCTTCAAGGCCTGAATAAGCCAAAAGCATCATTCTGATCTCAGTTCACTGCCTTCCTGGGTCCTAGGCACAGAGTAGGTACCAAGGGTTCAAGATTGAACAAGGGCCAGTCTCTGCTTTCAAAGGGTTCCCAGTAGGTAGATAAGGGATACGCATACCTAAATAAATGCTGAGTGGTGTGATAAGGGCTATAGGACACCAACGAAGGAAGGGTTGGCTGTACCTGGGAAGGTGAGGAAAGGCTTCCTGGAGAAAGTTTAGCTAAAAGGAATTAAGAATTTCATAGGGAAAGAAGGAAACTAAGAGCATTTTAGATAAAAGGAATAGCAAGTACAGATTATTTTGTATGAGTGCGATGTGGAGAACAAAGAAATGAGGAGTCAGGGATCATGTCATGAAAGCTTTGTATGGGGAGCTCATGGAAAGGTCTTTGACAATTTTTCATACCACGGACAGATTTTCATTTTAAAAGGCAACTGGATGGGAGCAGAAACCATAGCCGGAAGACCAATTAGGAGACTATTACAGAAGTCCAGGTACAGTATGAAAAGGCCCACATCAGGGCACTGACATGAGAGATGGAGATGAGCTAGTGAAAGAGGCATCAGGTAGATTTGGAGTGAGGGGCAGGGGACAGATAGGATGCCCCCCAGGATTGGTGGGTGTTTCTGGATTGGTGGATGGTGCTTACCAGAACAGAATCTAGTGTAGGAGAAGCAAGTCTAGATAGGAAGATAGAGTTTATACTTTTAGACACTGAATTTGAAATGCCTTTAAGACACCCAGGTAGAAGTATGCAGTGAGAGAAATGTAGCTATAGAAGCCAGGTCTTCACTGTAGATACAGAAGCCAGGGTCCTCAGCTTGATAGGGAGTTAATTATCTGAGTTTGATTCTGAGCTTTACCATGATTAGCTGTAACTGTGACCAAGCTGATTGCATTCTCTAAGCTTCTGTTTCTCACCCATAAAATGAGGATGATAATAGTATCTACATTTTGTGCAAGTAATGATCGTTAAGTCAGACGATGCATATAAAATGCTTAGAATGATGCCACTGTAGTGAGCATTCGGTAAATGTTTGAAATGGATGGCATTGCATAGGGAGAGTCCATAGGGAAGAGAAAAGGACTAAGGACTGAGGCCTAGAAAATCCTAATATTAGAGGCAGGGAAGGAAGAGCACAAGCAGAAGAGTGAAAAGGAAAGAAAAATAAGAAGAGAGCCCTGAAACCATGGTATCATTGACACCCAGAGAAGAGAGATTTCCAAAGATTAAATGGCCAGTGGAGTCAAATACTGCAGAGAATCCTAGTCACATGAAGACTGAAATTGTCTACTCAAGTAGGTAGTGAAAATGTCCTTAGTGAATTTTGCCAGAGCTGTTTCTCTGGAACAGCCCTTCTCAATATAGTACCATTAGCTACTCACACAAATTGGATGGAGCAGACACAGAAGGTTCTATCATTGTATTATAGAAACAGGTGCTGTCGTTGAAGAAACTCCTACTGGTCAGCGCTGCTTTGAAGAGTGGATTGTGATTAGTCGGAGGCTTTAAAGTGGGAGTTTGAGACTAAGCTGAGTTCTTGCACCTACGTGAGGCTGAACATGAACATTTCAGAGTTAATTCATTCTTGCATCCCAAGCACTTGGTATAGGCATATGTTCCAGGCAAACAATAAATTCTAACTGTTTTAATACAGTACATTTTTAAATCTTCCCCGACCCCAAGTCATAACATACTTATTGCAGTTTGCTTGAAATTAACTGAAGACAAGTGCAAACTGGACTATCTGGCATATTAACTGGGCAACTGCATGAATGCTGCATAGTCTTCAAGTGTTAGTGGCTAAGGAGCCCTTGTTAGTGGCTAAAGATCCTCGGGCTGTAGTGACTGCATGGTTGGCAGGGATATGTTGGGGGTTCCAAGAGGGAGCAGTGGGCATGGGCACCTACTACTTCTAACAAAGAAAACCCATCACTGCAGTCATTTTAAATGTTTTCCATCAGAAAGAGCTTGAATCAAGTCCTATAGTTTGAACAGCAACAAGTATGTTAAAATTTAAATCCTTAAAAAAAAAAAAAAATTTAAATCCTTATCCACAGCCACGGTGGTTCCAGCAGTTGTTACTTTTATTTATTTATTTTTTAATATATTTTATTGATTTTATTTACAGAGAGGGATAGTTAGAAACATCGATGGGAGAGAAACACCAATTAGCTGCCTCTTGCACATTTCCCACTAGGGATGTGCCCACAACCAACATACATGCCCTTGACCAGAATCGAACCTGGTCCACAGGCGGATGCTCTATCCACTGAGCCAACCGGTCAGGGCAAGCAGTTGTTACTTTTAGACTCCCCAGTGCCTTTCCCCACCTCCCTCACCTTGGACTGTGGGTCCCCATCTGCACTGAACTGGCTTCTAAGGAGTGGTTGTATGAGATGCCAGTTCTTTTGGGTCTTTGCCACTTTGTGATGAATTGCATAGGGATATGCCTCAGTCATAAGTTTCCTGGATCTTTGTAACCTTTAAAAAACAACAACAACTGCTAGAGGAATAAACTTTGGGCCTCGAGGCTACATACTCAATTCACATAAAAAATCTCTCTCCCTGCTCTGGGGTATTCTTGTCTCAGACTTGGCTGCTAATACTGGCCCAAAGCCAATTACACCTGCCTGGCCGGGGTAATCATTGACTTAAACTAAAGTATCCTCTCTGGCTCTGCCTGGGAAAGAATAAAATAATAAACATTAAACTTGACAAGTTATAGTTGTGGCTGTAATTGATGGTTAAAGAGATTTGGGGACCTATAGTTTATCTCTTTTCCTGACCATTTTGGACTGGACATCAAAAAATGTAGGCACCCTCTACCCAAAACACACCCTGTTGTGGTTTCCTCATAACACTCATTTATCAAAGGTTATAACTGATTAAAGTAAGATACAGTTTCTTATAATGAAAGATAATTATAGAATTTGGGGCCGAGAAAGAGCTTGGAGGAAAAAGTAGCAGTAATAGTTTTTGTGGTGGTAGTAATAATACTAGCAGCAGTGGTAGAAGTAATACTCTGTTTCCCCAAAAATAAGACAGTGTCTTGTATTAATTTTTGTTCCCAAAGATGCGCTAGGTCTTATTTTCGGGGGATGTCTTATTTTTCCATGAAAAAGAATACAGTACACATTTATTGTTAAATGAAAATAAAGGAAATTTATTACCTGTATACGGTACAGTAGTACGGTAGTTGTCAACACAAACCAGACTTAACTGTGAATCCTACAGTATCAAGAATTTACTCACTTATTCAATGACAATCATGTCATTATCTTCTGGAACATCATCATAACAATCCAATTCCTGAATTTCCTGGTGAATTTCTTGTGACTCCATTTCTTTCAGAATCAGTGGACCAAATCTCTCATGGTTAGCCTGGGGGGGGGGGGGGGCTTATTTTCAGAGGATGTCTTATTTTCAGGGAAACACAGTAGCAGCAGCTGCTGACGTAGCCAAAGTGGCATCAGTTTTTAAGCATCTCCTAGGTCCAGGTGCTATGCTGGATGCCTTAAATGTGTTACCTCATTGAATCCACAGCAGCACTACAAAGCAAACACATCAGTTCCATCTTACAGGGGACAAACAGATTCAGAGAAGTAACTTGCCTAAGGACAGGCTGTTAATAAAATTTTCCCCCCTATCAGAAGATTCATACTTCAGATGAAAGCAAGTTAGCTGAAATTCAGTAAAGTAAGGTCAAGGTCAAAGAGCAGAGTTTGACTAAATGGATTTTGAGTCTCAAGCCCAGCCTCAGGCTGTAGTGACCCCATGGTTAACAGTGATGTGTTGAGGGTTCCAAGAAGGAGCAGTGGGCATGGGCACCTACTACTTCTGACAGAGAAAACCCCTCATTGCAGTCCGTTTAAATTTTTTCAACCAGCATTGAAAAAAACTTGGATTTAACAAAGAATACTTAAGGCAGAAGAGATCCAAAGGGTTGTGTAGGCCTGGAACTTTGAGAGTAATTGGGACAGCCCCAGAAATCTCTAACTTACTAGAAATTGGGTGGCCATAGCCACTAAGAAAAAACTTACTTGTCAAAGAACTCTGGCCTGAGTTTAACCATACCCTCAAACACTCCCTGTGACCCGTACTGGGCAGAAGAATGGGCACTGGGATCAGCTTTGTAAGAACGGTGAGGCTTTATGAACTCACAAGAATATGGACTTGTGGCTAGAATCGGGGATTCTTCTAGTCTAAATCGGCAGTTTCTGCATCTTCACCTTTCAACTCAGCGACATCCTGGAGGCAGTTCAGGCCTTGGCCCAGAGTAAGGACATGTCTCGAGAAGAATGTCGTGGCTGTCCCCTTCAAGCTGACTCAAATCAAGGGACTTTTTCCGGACTGGAGGAGAGCTCTTGCTCCCTCCAAAGTGACCAGATGTAAGGAAGTTGCTGATGAAAAACTGCACATTCCAAAGGGGAAAATTCTTTGTGCCACATTTTATCTGCCCAAGCGGGATCTTTTTAAATACTTCACAAAGTTCCCATGGCTGCCTCTCCTGAATTCCAGACCTTTCTTTTGTACAAAGTGCATCCTCTGGCAAAAAGGAGCCTTCTGAATGAACACTTGTACCTTGGACAGCAGTCAGCTATTTCTTAAGTCAGTGCCAGAGATGTCAAGAGTCTAATGATGTTGAGAAAGTGAATAAAACCTCCTTAAACACTTGAAATTTTAGCTTCACCTAAAATGCCCTTGACCATCTGTCCATACCACTCTCCCTTTACTATCCTTCGAGGCAACGTAAATCCCTGGCAAATATTACATTCTCCTTAAATGCTTAATGGATGAGTAGACAGAAAAAGTAGGTGGAGAGACATTTGTCATTTGTTTCGGAGGGATGGGCAGATAGTCATCCATCCCAGTTGGTAAACACTTGCCTTCCTCTTGAATCTCGCTCTTGCACGTTGTGTGCCTCATGCAGTCCTTGCATTAGGGAGGGCTGCCCTCTTTCCCCCTGGAAGATAATACTCCCCTCTGTCTCCCACCGCCCTTTAACAAGGCAGAGCTGGTGCTCAGTAGATAAGAGATTTTGACTGGCCAATTTGGGGACACAGCAGTAATAGTATCGGGACTGTTTCGGGCCACGGGCCCTGAAGGAAGAAATGGGTATCTAACTCCTTTTGTGCTGGTGTGTTTTGGCTACAGTGTCACAGCCACAGCTGCCAGCATCGGAGCTGCGGGTGTACCCCAGGCCGGCCTGGTGACCATGGTGATCGTGCTGAGCGCTGTGGGCCTGCCCACTGAGGATGTCACCCTGATCATCGCTGTCGACTGGTTCCTGTGAGTTTGATAAACGTGCTGCAGAATCTTAAGTCTGTCATTCTCTCTTCAGATTGCCTAATGAGCCATCTGTTGCTGCTTTCATTTCCCTCTAACCAGGCCATCTGATAATGTGGTTAAAAATTAACTCCTCAGAAACTTCAAGCAGTGATTTTAAAAAGCCCGTGATCTGTAGTAGCGCATTATACCTGGTAATGCTCAAGGTTAAAAGCCAGGCATTGGGCAAGATAAACACAAAATAACATGGTGAAGAAGGTAGGCAAGACCCCAGACATTCCAAACCCCTTAGGCCACCCTGGCCTATCCCAGCCCTAGCAGCATAGGTTCAGACCACTTCAAAATCAGCCCATCTTCCCAGCTTCAGACCATCAGGGGCAGTGGCATAAGCATTGGCTTTGCAATAAGACTGACTTGGGTTTGAATCTCTGAGCAGTGTCTTACTGGCTTTTGACCTTTAGTTCCTTAACCTCTCTGAGGTCTTGTTGTATAATCTGTAAGATGGAAAAGATTCCGTCTGTCTCATTGGGTTGGTTTAAGAACTGAGTGAGCTAATATGGGAGGAGTGTCTGGAAGGCAGTATGTGCTCAATAAAAGGCAAGTCTTAATTGTTATAACGAGAGAGAGAGAGAGAGAGAGAGAGAGAGAGAGCGCGCGCACGCGCGCGGGCGCGCGGGAGGGAGGGAGGGAGAGAGAAGGAGAAGGAGAAGTATTGGTTGAGGCTTGAATGGTCTAACTCCATGATGGGCAAACGCATTAGTCAACAGAGCCAAATATTAACAGTACAGCAATTGAAATTCCTTTTGAGAGCCAAATTTTTTAAACTTAAACTTCTTCTAACACCACTTCTTCACCCAGGCCGTGGTATTTTGTGGAAGAGCCACACTCAAGGGGCCAAAGAGCTGCATGTGACTCGCAAGCCACAGTTTGCCAACCATGGAGTTAGACCATTCAAGCCTCAACCAATCATATTCTCTCTCTCTCTCTCTCTCTCTCTCTCTCTCTCTCTCTCTCTCTCTCTCTCTCTCTCTCTCTCTCTCTCCCTTCCTCTCTCTCAGCTTAGCCAAGAGAGCCCAGAAATGTTCACAAGACAGAGGTCAGTGGTAATTGGTGAAGTTTGGGGAGTCATTGTGACTTGGGAGAATGGGCCTGGGGGATCTGGTTTGCTCATTCTGTGCCTTTATGAACCAACTTCTGCTTCAGGCCTGTGAGGAGAGGAGCCTCTGGTCAGCCAGCCATGAGGACAGTACTTTCTGCATTTGCTTGACTTGTAACTCAACATTTCAGGTCCTGTCTTCTGTCCAATGGGCAGGGAAATGAAATCTGGGCCTCCTGTCTGATTCACCCTCTCCCTTCCGCAGGGACCGGTTCAGGACCATGGTGAATGTCCTCGGTGACGCCTTTGGGACGGGCATAGTGGAGAAGCTCTCTAAGAAGGAGCTGGAGCAGATGACTGTTGCCTCTGACGTCAACTTCACGAACCCCTTTGCTGTGGAAACCACAACACTCGATAATGAAGACTCAGACGCCAAGAAGTCCTATGTCAACGGAGGCTTTGCCATAGACAGATCTGACACCATCTCGTTCACCCAGACCTCACAGTTCTAGAGGAAGGACATCTCTTAGCAAATTCAAACATTAAGGAAAAGAAGAACACTAATGGCCAATTGTACATTTGACCTGATTCACAGACCTCCAGACTATTTCTATATTTGGATTCGGAGCTTTTGCTCTCTCTGTTCTGGGACTTGGGGTTGGGGTAAGAGGAAAGGAAATTGATGAAAAGGCAAGCTATATTATCTGGAGTTTTAAAACTTTACAAGAGACAAAGTTTAGAAATATATAACATAGCAGTTGTTGGAATTAGGTAACAGATGTGAAAGCGCAATTGCTTTCTCACGCACAGACCAGTGTTTTGGGTTTTTAAAAAACTATTCTGTCAGTGATTACAAATTTTTTACTCAGGCTTTCTATTGGCATGGATTTCCTTTGATGTCTCACGTTTTTTATAGATGATAATGCATCCAAACCATCCCCCTTCCCTAGTTAATGTGCCAAACTGTCCATTTTGAACTCATCTCCAGCCAATTAAAAAAAAACACTGCTTTGAAAGAAAGCAGATCAACACAGTTCTGCAATAACAATTTTAAGATGAGTGTCAGGTTTGTGGGGAAGGGAAATCATTTTTTTCAAAGTACTGTACTGGGACACTGGTAACTATTAACCCAGTGTTCAGGGTAGAACTAGATAATATATATATTATTTTCATAAAAATTGCCAGACAGAGATCAGAATGGAACAGTCAATGTGAAATAAAGAGCTCTCCTAATACTTGAATAATAACTATGATTCCAATCCAGACCTACTCTGAGGCTTATCAGAACTCCTCTCTCAGGAGCACTACACTGAGAAATCGTGTTGTTTGATCATTTCTGCCCGAAAGCAGAGATGTGTTATGGTGATACTCAGAGGTGGCATAGCCATTCATTACAACTTCCAAATTCTCCTGCCCAGAGGGGGTCGTAGCAGCTCCATGTGAGATTATGTTCAAAGGTGTCACTCACGTAAGGCTGGATGTGTGTTTATCCAGCTGGAAGGCTTCATTCTTCCAAGGTCAGTAATACACACTTAAAAAATGATAGTCCTTTGCCCTTTTGTCCCCGACAGGGCCCAAGCAACAGTGGCAAGCTACCTGATAACTGTATTTCAATACGAATTTGGTAAGTTGAACAAGCCACACTGCCCAGAAAAGCACTATCCCTTCCCTGGATTCTTACAGAGTAACTCCCACAGCCTGAGATGTTGGGATCAGTGGTTCAGGAAAATCCTTCATTTGTGTGGTACTTGTGTCTTCCTCCAGGGAGAATTGTTCTAATCGACTAGCACCAGGGTCTGCAAACTGCGGCTCACAAGCCACATGCGGCTTTTTGGCCCCTTGAGTGTGGCTCTTCCACCATATACCATGGCCTGGGCGAGTCTATTTTGAAGAAGTGGCATTAGAAGAAGTTTAAGTGTAAACAAAATTGGCTCTCAGAAGAAATTCCAATCGTTGTACTGTTGATATTTGGCTCTGTTGACTAATGAGTTTACCTACCACTCAACTAGCAGTCTTGTGATCTTGGCCCTGCTCCTTAAAATCCATCATTTGCCATTCTCCTGCTAATTTATGAAAATATCTTATTAAAGTCTGTGCTTCAGCTCACCATCTTGTAAATAATGCTTAACATGACTTTTGTATTTACACTGAGATCTAAAATACCCGTGCTTCTGCAGTACTGAGTAGCCAATTTAAGCCTGTGCTTTCTTATTTAAGAAACCAGAAATTGTGCCAAATTGTGTATTCATGTCTCCGTGTTCAGTATTGACCACCTGCACCTGAAGGCTACAGGAGAATGATCCCGAATTGTCCCGTAAACCTAAGTATGAACCAGTAATTCAATGTGAGTTTTTAAATGCAAAGAATGGAATTGTTTATAGAAAGTCAATTTAAATATAATGCAGTTGAGTCGGTAATTTATCTTGGGCTGGATGGTTCTACCCCCCTGGCAGGTTTCTCCGATTTGAGGCACCAGAGTTGCAGAGCTGTTCATGAACTGCAGGTCATCCTTATTTTGGAGTCCATTTGTAACTGACCTCTTAACACACAGTGCTGTTAACGCATCAAAGAGAACAATGTTCCATTTCAGTCTCAATAAACATTCAATCATTCTTTCTTCCCTGCTTGTCTCTGTTTCATCTCACTCTGATGGGTGTGGGAAGGTGGAGACATGGTCAGTTAATTCAGATTGTACACAGATTGCATTTCCCAAACTGTGTTTATAGCCAAGAATGAAAAAGCAGGGCTTAGGGGAAGTAATCTAATTCTTCATGTTAATTAGTGGGGATTAAAAGGTTGAAATTCAGTGTCATTATGAGTACTTGCCCACAATTGATGGAGATGAAAAGGAAAGTAGAATTTGGTTAGATATTACTGTAATGGGGGAAAGTCACCATATTGATGGGGACTTGGTTTCCCTGAAGGACTGATCCTGACCTCTGAAATGCTCCTATAAACGACAAATGGCTGTATTCAGAGTGCCCTTTATTTCTAAAATATATTTTTATTTTTTTTTTAATCCTTAATTCTTTTTTTATTTATTTATTTATTTTTACATATTTTATTGATTTTTCCCCCCTCCCTCCCTCCCACACATCCCCTCCCTCCCCAGAGCTTTATGTCCATTGGTTGTACTTATATGCATGTATACAAGTCCTTCAGTTGATCGATTATCTCCCCCAGATCCTCCTCCCCTCCCCGCTGAAATTTGACAATCTGCTTGTTGCTTTACTGTCTCTGTATCTATCTTTTGGTTCATCAGTTTATAATGATCTTTATTATCCACAAATGAGTGAAGTCATGTGGTGTTTCTCTTTCATTGATTGGCTTATTTCACTCAGCATGATGTTCTCCAATTCCATCCAGGTTGCTGCAAATGATGAGAATTCCTTCTTTTTTATGGCAGCATAGTATTCCATTGTGTAGATGTACCATAGTTTTTGGATCCAATCATCTGCTGACGGGCACCTAGGCTGTTTCCAAATTCTGGCTATTGTAGATTGTGCTGCTATGAACATAGGGGTGCATATATCCTTTCTGATTGGTGTTTCTAGTTTCTTGGGATATATTCCTAGGAGTGGGATTACTGGATCAAATGGGAGTTCCATTTTCTAAAATATATTTTTATTGATGTCAGAGAGGAAGGGAAATGGAGAGAGAAAAATAGAAACATCAATGATGAGAATCATTGATTGGCTGACTCTTATACATCCCATACTGGCATGTGCCTTCACTGGGAATCGAACTGTCAGCTCCTGGTTCATAGGTCAATACTCAACCACTGAGCCACACCAGCTGGGCTTTAGGGAGTTCTTCAAAGGAAGTGCACAGCCCTCCCTGGAACCTCAGTCATGACGGGGTTCCTCCAGCAGACCCACTAGTTAGTGAGACTATTCGGAATGGATGGCTCTCTCTGCCCCCTGAATGTGTCTCATAAAAATGCTTATCACTACCTGACCAAACTAATTCAGAATAGTCTTCTCTTTGGGCAACATGGGATAAAATACCCAACAACACAATTTCTTAGAGATCTGTTTGGAAAAGTTAGTGAACCTGGGTAGGGACCCCCATGTGATTTTGATCTGCCCAAAGTATACTTGTGAACAGAGCAAAGGTGTTATTAGCTCTAGAAAATAACTTTTTCCCCCAAAAAAAAAATCTTAGTGAGCCCACTGGGTACAAGGCCTGTTAACTATAGCATTCTTAGAATAGTATGAGGAAACTGTGTTTGGCTTCTTGTTGGCAGTGGGCCAGCAACTGTGTTGACTTTATAGGTATTTAGGAACCTTCCCTCCTGGTACAGAAAAAAATGGTCATGCAGAGCCTTGGCAGAATTCTAGAAAGTTCTATGCAACAGAATATTCTGTATACTCTTAACTGCCAGCAAGAGACCCATGCGTAGGAATGCAGCTGGTGTCTTAACCGTTTTGTGACCCTTGCCAATAATCTAGGCCTTGGTTTAATCTTCTGTGAAATGGTGGTAAATCTTGCCCCTTGAGGTTATATGCATTTTATCATTTAAGTTAAATGAGAAAATGCATATAATTCATTTAGCAGAGACTCTGTCACATGTCTGGTGAATGCTAGTGCCCCCCACACCACACAAAATCCCTAAACAACTCACTCCACATTTTCATGGGCAACCCATAGAGATGCAACTTTGGTTGCTAGTCAGTGTTTTGAGACCTGTCTCAGTTATTAAAGCAAAATGCATCCAAACTAGTGAGACTTAATATATTAACAAGTCCCATTCTATGAAGGGAAAACAGGACATTTTGATATAAATAGTGTAAGACTTGCTGAAACCGGTTTGGCTCAGTGGATAGAGCATCGGCCTGCAGACTGAAAGGTCCCGGGTTCGATTCCAGTGAAGGGCATGTGCCTTGGTTGCGGGCACATCCCCATTAGGGGTTGTGCAAGAGGCAGCTGATCGATGATTCTCTCTCAACGATGTTTCTAACTCTCTATCCCTCTCTCTTCCTCTGTAAGAAATCAATAAAATATATATTTTTTAAAAATAGCGTAAGACTTGAAATATTCTCTCCTATAAAGTATCACATAGGCATTGGACAAAAAGCATTCACAATTTTTTGTCTGTGGCTTGCGACAGAGAGGTTTGAGATCGGGTGGTGTGAGGCGGAGCTGTGCATTCATTCACATGGCACCCTTCCTATTAAGTTCTGAGATTTGTGACATGCAATTCACTTCTGCCAGGTCGGCTTGGAAGTCTCATGAGACTGTCCTCCCCATGCTGAGACTTGGCTCTGAGCCCCACGTGAGGTTTTAAAAATACCCTCTGTGGTAGGAAATGTGTCTCTCTCCCCTCTGCAATCTTAACTTTTTAAGTAAAAGCTATATAATATAAATAAGAAGCAAGCCTTGTTAAAGTAGCTTTGGGAACAACACATATTGACCCACATGTATCTAATTAGATGACTGTACATTAAGTGTATAAATTTATTGCCCATGAATGGAGAGGACTGGGGACATTTCTCAGTGGTCCAGGCTAAATAACACCCCAAAAGTCCTAAGGAAGCATTCAGATTAATCTCACACCTGCTGACAGGTCCATTTCTCCTCGCTGGGGAAACCAGTGCCAATCTTAAGATACCACACAGAACAGTTATTAGTAAACCCCCAAAGCTAAGATAAAATCAACACCCCTTTTCTTATTCTGTTGAAGAAAAGGAAAAAGGAAAGCTGTGGCCTCTTCTAGAGAAGTTTGGTTTCCAGAAGGCCTCACCAGCCTGAAGCTATTAGGTCTAGTAATAATTAATGTCGTTTTCTAATACTTTTTTAAAATCGAATTTATTTAAACAATACAACAAAATGTAATCAACAATATAGTTGCCGTTGTTTTCTACTACTTGTGCCCAACGCTCAGGAAGCATTTTAATCCCTCTGTTGTAAAATTCTTGTGATTTTGATGCAAAAAATTCAGTCAATGCATTTTTGAGGCATTCTTCATTATTAAATTTTTTTCCAAGAAGAAAGTTTTGCAAAGGACAAAACAAATGGTAATCGGAAGGGGCAATATCAGGAGAATATGCAGGTTGAGGGAGAACTTCCCATTCCAACTGGCGCAGTTTTTCAGCAGTGATTCTTGCAGTATGTGGTCGTGCGTTATCGTGGTGAAGAATTACGCCCTTCCGATTAATCAGCGCGGGTTCTTTTTCTCTTAAAGCTTGGGCTAACCTTTCCAATTGGGCACTATACACTGCACTTGTAATGGTTTGGTTAG